AGTGAGACCTTGTCTCAAAAAAAAAAATAGCTAAAGCTTGATGAGCACTTGCCATATGCCTGGTAGATACACGACGCATGAAATCCCACAAAGGATGACCCAGTCTCTCCCCATACGACAGAAGAGAAAATCATGCCTCACAGATGTCTAGCCACTTTCCTAGGGTCATACCCCAGGGAGGGTAGAGAAAGGATTTCATCACAGGTTGCCTGGAAGCTAGAACCCAAGCTCTTAACCACAGATGAGCTTTTCCCCTTAAAATGAGATCTTGAGAGGTGAGAGGAGAAAAGCCCTCGGCCCTAAAACTCAAGGTTAATGTGTGAACCGGACAGCAGCCAATCCTTAGAACTCAGGAAGTGGGTTTTGTTTTTTTTCCCCCAGTTTCGTTGAACTACCTAGAACTCTGTGTTCTCCTCCCACCCCACCCAGCACAACCTTTCTTCCCAATTGCATAATGGGCCCCCGGACATTTGGAAGGAGGGCAAAAATAAGTCAACCAAGCAAATACATCTCTGCTATTTAAAAAGTGGTTAAAAAATGCTTCTGAGGTTGAGCTTCTTCTGTCTGTCCTATAGTGGTGGGGTGTTTGGGAGCAGGTGTTAAATTTAAGGTCATACAAGATACAGGGGTCTTTATGCCTTGGGGACAGGCCCCAAAGGACAGATAGCAAGAGGGTGGACAAGGGCAGAGAGGGGCAGGGCCATGACAGGGAACAGAGCTAAGCACTAGATCCTTGAAAACACTAGCACGAGCACCCACTGTAGACAACTCCCAGGGGCTCCCATCCCTTGCCCACACTCACGCCCTCTGGGAGGTGCTCATTTGCCTGCAAGTGGCTCTTCCATCCTTCCTCCAGCCTTGTAGCATGTCACAAGGCAAAACATGGAGCTTCTGTCCACCCTCAGCCCAGAGCATGGCCTGGAATCCTTCCTCTGCAACCTTCTAATCAGAGAAAATTCCCCAGCCACAGGCCCTGAAATCCCTCCTCATGCACAACTCAGCCAAGAATAGAGGGAAAATGGAACCCATTATTCTCATTCTGAATGGCTGGGAAATGGCTTTTGCTTTTCAACATGAAATGTGCCTAAAAATAAGCTGTGAATTTCAACCAGAGGTTGAAAATAGCTCTGCAGTGAACAGAGCTCTATTCAGAGTGGGCTCAAGGACAACCTTCGTTCCAAGATCTGAGAGTTGAAGCGCTGCAGGCAGAGAAAGGGTCATGGGCAGGGGGTTTTCCAGGGCAGAAGGACCATCACAGGCTCACAAGGCTGCCCCTGCCGTGGTCTACTAGAGGGTGAGTAGAGTAGGGGGTCCATGCAGGCTCTGTCCCTCTGGCTTTCGACTGCTATACTGGAATGGGGACATGGTGAGGAATTCAACACCTACACCTGCCCGGTTGGCTTCCTAGAATCCTCAAATGCCCAGGATGTTTCACATGGCTTCAGGCCCAGGGTGTAGACAGAGCTGACATAGGCAGAGGGTCGTTAGATTCATGAGTTCTTGGGGCACGGCTGTGGTGCCATGGGCTCTTTGAGAAGTCAAGCCACACTGGTCAGCCACTAAACCACTGACCAGATATTCTCCCAGAGCCAGGGAAGTCTCTAGGCAGGAAAGGCAAAAACACTTTCCAATTTTTAAGTGAAGAAAACCAAGTTGCTAAAGGCAAAACGTCTTTTTTTTTTTTTCCATTGTTTACCATCACCTGCAGAAGACTGAGACCAAACAAGATTCCTACAAAATGAGCTTCTGTTAGAAGCCCAGGCTGAGAAACCTGGGCCACCACTGCCGCTGCTGGTGGGAACCCAGATCTGGCCCAACTGAGCACAGTCCTCACACTCAGGGCTGCTGGAATAGCAGTCCTCACCCACATGCCCACAGCCTCTCCCACCTCATCCCTGTGCTCCTCCCACTGCTAAGAGAGCCCCATCTCCAGACACATTCCCACACTCCTCCCACTGCTAGGTCAGCTTCTTTTCTGGGCTCGCCGCTCAGGCAAGACTTATTGCAGTGATTCTCTTATTGCAACTGGGGACAATTCTGCCCACCAGAGGGACATTTGGCAGTATTGGATGACTTTCTTTTTCCCCAGAGACAGAGTCTCACTCTGTTATCCAAGCTGGAGTGTAGTGGTATGATCAGAGTTCACGATAGCCTCCAACTCCTGGATTCAAGCCATCTTCCTGCCTCAGCTTCCCAAGTGGCTAGGACCACAGGGGAGTGCCACCATACTCAGCTAATTTTTAAATTTTTGTAGAGACAGGATCTTGCTGTGTTCCCCAGGCTGGTCTTTAACTCCTGGTCACAAGCGATCCTCTAGTTTCAGCCTCTCAAAGTGCTGAGATTATAGCACCATGCTGGGCCACCATGCCCAGCCTAGAAGATACTTTTGGTTGTCATAACTTGGGTTGGTGGGAGGGTGAAGATGCTACTGGCATCTAGTGAATAAAGGCCAAGGATGCTGCTAAATATCCCACAATGCATGAAATAGCTCCCTCTCCCCCCTGCCCACAGCAAAGAATGATCTGGCCCAAAATATCAACAGTGCTGAGGGTGAGAAACCCTGTGTTACCGGAAGGCAAGTACATAGACAGAGCTAGAGGGGCAGGGGCTCATCAGACTCTCAAGCTGCTGAGACATGGAGCTCCTGCAGTGCTCCTGGGCTCCCTGTGGTGCTAAGACACTCTGGCCAGCCATGGAACCAGTCCCCAGATACTGTCTCAGTGCCATCAGCTTCCCTTCCTATCTCAGAAGAAAACCGAACCACTGAACAGTGTTATAAAAAGTAGCTCTCCTCAGTTTGGAAAGATGAAAATCTTCTGGAAATAGACGGTGATGGTTGCACAACATTGTGAATATATTTAATGCCACAGAATTGTACACTTAAAAATGGTTAGAATGGTAAACTTTGTGTTATATATATATTATCACAATAAAACAAGGCAAAACAAACTAAAAACCTAGCGCTCCTCTTGGTCTGGGAGTCCTGAGATCAGAGAAGTCCTAAAGGTTTATACCATATGGCAGGTGTGCGTCAGTGAAAGTGTGTCTGGAAGAGGACTTAACATCCACTCAGGGTCTCAGAGGGGCTTATAACAAATAAGAGGTCGGATCTCAACCAAGGATGATTTTAGGATGAACAAGTCACTTGGTGGGGTCTCAAAGCTTGCGGCAGAGCCTGCCTATGGGGATATTCAGGTACCACTGGGAAAATATTGGTTTGGGAAGACCACGTGTTTTGCCTGAGGCCACACATCCAGGATTTAGACCCAGTTCTCTGACCCCAGGACCCACAGCCTTTCCCTATTTGAGGCCCATGTAGTAAGGGCCAGCAGGCAGAGCTGTGACTACGACTCCAACGTGAGCCTGTAGATAGTATGGGATCACGTGGTTGCCCTGAGCCCTGCCAAGCTGCTCATCCACCATGCCCCATCCTGCCATGCTGGGATCCCCACCCACAGCTCTGGGAAGCAAAGGTGCCCCATACCTCATCACTGAGCCAGGACTAAAGGAACAAAAAGGCAGTTCATCTTATTTATTTTCCTAATAACTATAAGAACATGGGATTATCCTGCAGTTGGTAGATATTAACCATTCCCAAGAGGCAGATGGCAGTGCCCTCCTCTAAAATGGGGAAAAAGAGCCAGCAGCCCTCTGCTACCTGCAGTTCCTAGCTTTGCTCAGAGGGGTCAGCCTGGTCCAGGCATCTGGGGAAGGTGACTAAGTCCCAGGTGTCTCATCGGTGAACTGAGCAGTACCTTTACCCACTCATTCTGATAAGGAATAAACAGGGTGGCAAGCATAAAAGGCCTTGGCTGTGGCTCACCAGAAGTGCCCAGTAGATAGGGAGTCACAGGAAAGAGGGCAGGATCTAGAGGTCTGCTGGGTCCCAGGGGACCCCAACCCTGCGTTGTGAAATGCCTTTCTGGGTGGAAGATGAACTGGCAGCAGGCAGTGCATCATGCAGCCCAGTCATCCCCCAACAAACCCAAAAGCTGAAAACTGGCCACTGATTAGCAAGTACAGAGGACAGCCAAGGGGCCAGCCAGGATGGCAACCCCTAGAAGTAAAACCCAACTGGGCCAATGCCTAAAGGCAGCCCAGGACACAAAACGGGGCATGTGTGTGTGATGGAATGGGGTGGTGAGGGGTCTATCTGCTGCAACCACAGAAGCCCTGGGATAGACTCAAGAGGCTTCCTGGTTCTATTCTGGGCCCCAGCCTTGACTCGCTGGAGGCCTTGGGCGAGCCGCTTCCTGTTGTTTGGACCAGTATCCGTGCTGGGGAGGCCACACTGCCTCTATGGACCAGTGGAGAGATATTTAAACAGCCTGTGGCCATAGGAGCTTGGAACCCCGAGGGTTCCACAACCTTGGCTTTAACATTTATTTCAGCCCACGCTGAATACGACCTTATTTAATGAGACTGTATCAGTTATCAATTTTTCCCCCAAATAGTTGTCAAAAATATTAACTATTCAAATTCAGGAACACTGAATATTCTTTTACCAACAAAGGTACTAAAAATGGTTTGTGGCTGAGGAACTTCCTCTCCATGGTTAGAAAAAAAAGTGGGGGAAGTGAAAGCAACAGGGCTGGGCCTTTCCCATTTGTCCCAGCTGTGGTTTCAGCCCCTGAACCCTCTAGGAGCCCCACATTTGTATCCTGTGGCCCAGGGTTCAGTATGGGACAGGTCCCTCGTCCCCTAAGGCCTCAATCAACCAGCAGCGTTTGCCATGGAAACACACCCCCACCAAATGGCACAGGCCCGGGGTACCCAGTAGCTTGCTATATCAGCCTCTTTGTGTCTCATTCGTTCACTCTAGACGGAAAACAAAGCACCACAAATGCCAAAGTATTTGGTAAATGACAAGATCTTACCAGGGTTCCTTTCCCGAGATGGGCCTAAACCTCTACCCTCACCATCTCCAAGCCCAGAGCTGTTCACCATGACCTAGCCCACCAGAGTCACAGAGCTCAGGACATACCTGCCAAGCCACTTACCAGATTCCCTGCAGAGCTGGCCAGTGTGGCTGGGGGCCTTGGCACTTTCATGACTTCTCCATGATCAACAGCATCAAAATTACTCTTCCAGACCATCACCTGCCAAACCAACAGGCACACCAAGTCAGGGGGAGAAAATCCCCTTGACAGTCCTTCACTGAGAAAATGGGCTCAGGGCCCATGCCCAAAGTTCTAAGCCATGGTGGGACAGTGGTCCCCACCTGACACCCCAACTCAATTCTGGGACCTATCCCACCCCACTGGGGAGTAGGCGTTCTGCACAGGCTTCAAGAGGACCTGGATGTGACCTGGATGAACCACCGCAGTGTGACACCACCAGGCCTTTACACTTGCTGGTTCATCTCCCTAGGGTGTCACAGGCCCAAGCTTTATGGGGTTGGCTTCTTTGCAGGCTGAAGTGTCTGCTTCAGCAGCACCACCTTCTCAGAGAGGCCTTCTGTGAATGTTTATTATAGCCCTCTATTTATTTCCTTCATTGCATCAGAGTAGGTAGTTATTTAATCCAGTTGTGCCTTTTCCTTGTTTATCACCAGCCTCTGTACTAAAATAGAAGCTCCTGAGGGCGGTGGTCTGGCCTGTTACACTGTGAGAAGTGGTTAACACATGGACTCCTGGCCAGACCCCTCCTTATCGAATGGCCCAAGGCAAGGGTCTCAACCTCATAACTCAGTTCCTGCATCTGTGAGATGGGGATGAGCCTCATTCCCAGCTCACGGGCCTCATAGGAGACAGCCTGGCAGACACAGGCACACAGGAAGTACTCAGCAACACCCGTCATCCCAAGGCTAACTCAGCCATGAAAAGCACGTCCTAGGCCAGGCACGGTGGCTCACGCCTGTAATCCCAACACTTTGGGAGGCTGAGGTGGGTGGATCATCTGAGGTCGGGAGTCCAAGACCAGCCTGACCAACATGCAGAAAACCCCATCTTTACTAAAAATACAAAATTAGCTGGGCATGATGGCGCACACCTGTAATCCCAGCTACTTGGGAGGCTGAGGTAGGAGAATCGTTTGAACCCAGGAGGCAGAGGTTCTGTGAGCCAAGATTATGCCATTGCACTCCAGCCTGGGCAACAAGAGTGAAACTACATCTCAAAAAAAAAAGAAAAGAAAAAAGAAAAACACGTCCTATTCCGAGTGTCCTCCTATCAGCAGGGCCATGTCCCTCGCATCCTTGAGCACAGATGAGGGAGGCGTCTGGCTAGGAAGCAAGAGCGCTCCCTGCTGGAGGGTGCTGGCCATGCACGACTGCGTGCTTCCAGGGCCACTTGCAGTATGGCTGGCTTGGGCGTCACAAGAGAACTGGGGAGTGTGTGGCCAGTGGTCACTTGAGGCCACAGAAAACCCACCATATCCACACAAGACGAACACTCCATGAGCTCTGGACACCATCCCTGTCTGTCAGGACGCAGCTGTGAGCCTCGCTCTTTGGGAGCTTCCTCACCACTGAGCAGCTCCACTGTTTACTCTCCCAGATGGATGGCACCTAGGGTCGTGCACATGTCACCTTACAAACAAAATATTAGCACACACACACCCTTGTTTACAGGGTCTTCATGTCACTGTGCAAATCTAACTGCTGAATAAATTTCTAAGAGTAGAGTGGCTATCATGAGTGCAAACAGACAATGCCAAATGTCACTCCGAAAGAGCTCAGATCAGATATTCAACAGGCAGCCTGGGAGCAGATGGCAGTGCTGCTTGAGGAGGGGCCAGAGTGGGTGGGAGCCTATTTTCCACCAGGCTGCCTCTCCTACTATGTCAGTTGATTCTACCATGACTCTATTTACTGTGTTAAGTTACTAGTCTCCCTGTCTTCTAAGCAACAAGCCAGGCCTCACACTCAGGGAAGGCTCAGGGGTCGCTTTTGCCTTCCTCCTCCCCGTCTGCTACAGCAGGACTGGTGCTGGTGTGGGCAGACGTCTGCTATCTCTAATCCAGGCTATAGTCAAGAGCATCCAACTACCCTCTGCCTTACTAGAAGAGACATAACCAAAATTGGCAGATTTGGCTGAGGCCAGGACTCACATAGGCCAACAGGACTTTTCTAGGCTGAGCAGCCAGAGCTAAGAGGCTGGGCAGCAGTGGAATAAACATTCTCGACCATCCATCAGGTCAACAGTGACACAGAATAGCCACTCTTTCCTCCTTGCCTCAGGGGCTATAGTTCTCTGGACAAGAGGACCATATGGACACTGGTGAAAGACTGCAGGTGGACTCTTCAGTGCTCCTGTCCTCCCCAGTGCCAGGGTCTGGACTAGACCCCAGAAGCAGGGTGCCCGCCAGGAGACAGGTCATAGGTGGTTAGCAGTTAGGGCACAAGGCACCATGGCTAACAGGCTGAAGCCTCACAGCAGAGGGTGACAAGGTACGATAGGACCTCTTCACAATGACCTCTCTCTGCAGCCAAAAATACTGAAAATGCTGACCCCTCAAATAGTGCCCAAGTGGATTGGGAGCAAAGGGCAGCAGATGACAGAGCAGAGGCTCCCAGGGCAAGAGAATGGCTCTGAAGTGAGACAGGTCCTGGTGCCTGCCCCAGCCCTACCATCTGCTGGAACTTAGTTTCCTCATCTACAGCATGGTGAGATGAGAGGGCCTGCCCCACAGGGTTGTCATGAGAATTAGATGAGGTACGAAGCTCTTGTCACATTGGTCATATTCCCAGGCCTGCAGTAAGATCATATTAATAATCATCATTATCTATTTGTTTAGCATCAGGAAAAGAACCAAAAAACCAACTTTTCACGACAACCACAGCCCAGCCTCCTTCTACTAAGTGCTAGCCTGAGCAGTGAGGATTCTGAGATGCGGCCATAAGGTCACCACCTGCAGGAGACCCATTCTGGGGTGGCAAGGGCCCTGGACCCCAAGCTCCACTAGGGCCTTTTTAGTCACTGAAAGCCACCAAGGAAGCTGGTGAAACCCAGCCCATCCCCCAAACACCATTTGGTTCTGAGCAGAAATCAGCTCAGATTCCTTTCTTCACCATTTCATTTGACTATTCTTTACTTACTTGTTCATCAGAGCCTCCAGAAGCAAAATACTCCCCGGTTCTTGAAAAGGCAACAGTGGTGGCTGGTCCCTAACAGAACAAACAAAAAAAGGGCACACATCAAAGGTCACTCTCGATTCTAAATGCACAGGAAGAAAATGAGAAGTTCCCAAATGAAAGCAGCAGCAAGATAAAGGACTGAGAGCCCACTCGGCCCACAATCCTTAGTAGCCTGTAGCCCAGGAGGCTGCCTACAGCCAGGTGCAAGCACCACCACTCAGGCCTTGGTTCCTGAGCAACAGGACAAGGCCATGCTACGGGACTGTGGGTGACAGAGATGAGTGAATGGGACAGTCTGTGCTGGCAGCCCTCCAGGGCTGGCCTCATTGTCCCCACTTTCCCAATAACAAACCACAAGTCAGAGAGATGCACTGAGGCACCCCAGCTACAGCACTGAGACCAGAACTTGGTCCCTCTGACCCAGACCAACCCGAACACCCAAGATATCCCCAACACTACCCAGCTGCTGACCAGGGAAATAGGGATCTAAAAGAGCCAATGGCTCAAGCAGATGGGGCATAGTTCAGGGCCCAGGTAAGAGGAAGGAGGTTACCAAAGGTGCTTGGGCAGCAGAGCAACGTGACACGTATCTCTAACATGCATTCACTTTTCTTATGTTCAGGCCATGGGTAGTGATGTGCCCACTCTGGCTTCCCAGATGCTGAAGGTCTGTGTGACCATCTGAAGGGGAATGTCAGGCATGTGCCAGGTCACACTCCAAGGGCCAGAGAGCATGTCCAGGCTCGGGGGAATGCAGGATGCATGATCTCCTGGTAAAGGTGGGTTCTTCCCCATATGCCTAAAACCTATCCCAGAAAGGTGCACAGAGTAAGGATCTGTTTAGCTATGACACCATGACCACAGCTACCACCATTTCCTCCTCCCAGTTGAACTTTTATTGTGGCCAGTACCTGACATTCCCAAGCAAAATCAGATAAAAGAGGTTCCCTTGTAGAGAACAGCACAGCCACCGTCACCCAGTCCACCTCAGTTCCTCCAGACCAGTACAGGGAGTGCCAAGAGCCCCAACTTCCCATGAGAGGGACTCTGGCAGCATATCTACAGCTGACCCATCAGCAAGAGGAACACTGAGAGGCACCTTCCACTCAATGCCAAAAAAGACCAGCCAAGTCGTGGGAGGGAAAAGGGACCTCAAGGCCGTGGAGGAAGCAGGTTTGTCTCCCAGAAAGACAGGCAGGTTGAGAGGTGCCATCCAGCCTCAGACACACTGGACAGCAGTGAGTATGCCCTCCCCTGCTTCCAGAGTCCATCTTCGGCCCTTCCTCTCAGAGATGCTCCTTACAGGGGTGATGAAGAAAGCGAGTACAACACTGGTGAACACCGAGCACTCAGGTGCTCAGAGCACAGCACCTGCATTAACCTGCTTAATCCTCAGAGGACGGTCTGTGGGGTGACCCCTTGTCTTAGTCCATTTGTGTTGCTATAAAGAAATATCTGAGACTAAGTAATTTGTAATGAGTAGAAGTGTATTGGCTCACAGTTCCGCATGCTTGAAAGTCCAAGATCAGGGGTCCAGCAACTGGCAAGGGCCTTCTTGCTATGTCATCTCATGGCAGAAGGGGAAAGAGAAGATGAGAAAGAAAAGGGGGCCAAACTCATCCTTTCATAAGGAACCCTCTCCCACGGTAATAAACCCACTCCTGCAAGAATGGCATTAATCCATACATGTGGGCATGGCCTCATGATCCAAATATCTCCCATTACGCCCCATCTCCCATTACACCCCTAAGCCACCATTAACCAGGATAATATAGATCCATTTTCTCAAATAGGGGAACAATGCATCCATCACTCGGATACCCTTTCAGGTAGACAGTCGCCAAGGGGTTAACAGAGGGGGGTAGTGTAATTTCAGGTAACTTTTACTTGATTTTTAGAAATTTTGTCATTCTTCCATTACTTTGAACCTTTTTATTTTTATTTTTTTGAGACAAAGTCTGGCTCTATCGCCCAGGCTGGAGTGCAGTGGTATAATCTTGGCTCACTCCAACCTCTGCCTCCCAGGTTCAAGCGATTCTCCTGCCTCAGCCTCGCTAGTAGCTGGGATTATAGGTGCCCGCCACCACACCCAGCTAATTTTTGTATTTTCAGTAGAGATGAGGTTTTACACTGCTGATCAGGCTGGTCTCGAACTCCTGGCCTCAAGTGATCCACCTGCCTAGGCCTCCCAAAGTGCTGGGATTACAGGCATGAGCCACTGCACCTGGCAAACTTTGAATTTTTTAACAATGAATATATGGCATTGCTATATTAATACGAACACCAAACAACAAAACTGCTTTTGTTGTGAGGAAAAACAAAGAGGAAACAGAGAAAAGAGAAGGAAACCAGTACATGAAATGTCAAAAAAGATGGGCCCTTTGCCTGTCCAGAGCTCACTGAGTAATGGCAGGTTTCCAAGAAGTTACAGCAGCTAAGGGACAAATACTTGCAGGTCACTCTCCCTTCCTGTCATGGCTCAACCACCAAATGCCAAGCTGGGAAAATGTGGTGGATTCAGAGCAGCAGCAACAGCAATAGAACCAACGAAGCCCTCAGTTCAGCAGGGGTCATGACCAGAAAGTAAGCGCTGGAGCCCTGCATATGAGTGCTAGTGCCCCTTCCAGAGACCAAGCCCCAGGAAGCTCCGGGGATGAAGTGAGTGATAAGCTGTGTGGGTCTGCAGTCCTCCCTAATTTATATAAAATTTGCCTGTTTACCAAGAGAACCACACAGCTCCTGCTCCAGGTTGCTTCCACAAAGGCTCCTGTTCCTCTGCCTAGGGCTCACATAAGCAGCCCAGGACACTCAGAGGACAGTACAGAGAACACCTGGGCTCTGCTGTGGACCAAAGCCAACCTGTACTGTAGAAGAGACCGTCCACTGCTAACATGCTTCAGGGTCTAGCATTGGAGGCCCTAGACCACTTCGGCCCTTGCCAACCTTCCAGGCTCTCTCTTCTCTCCACCCTAGTGCTCTGGGCCCACCAGACTGCTTACTGCTCCTCAAACAGCATGAGCTAGACAGAAAAGGTCCTCTCATTCTCTATATTCTTTCTGTCATTGCCTGCATTGAGTTCTTAATTCAAGTATTTTCAATCTTTTGTGATTTTATATAAATTCATTTAAGGCTACAAATTTGCCTCTGATGACACCTTCAATAGATCCCAGAAGTTTCCAGTATGCATCATTTTCAGTCATTCACTTCCATATGTTTAGTTTCCACTGTGATTTCCCCTTCAGCCCATCAGTTGTTTGGGAGTACATTCTAGAATTTCCAGGCTGGGCAATGGTGGCTCACACCTGTAATCCCAGCACTTTAGGAGGCTGAGGCAGGTGGATCATTTGAGGTCAGGAGTTAGAGACCACTCTAGCCAATATGGTGAAACCCTGTCTCTATTAAAAATACAAAAACTAGCTGGGCATGGTGGCAGGTGCCTGTAATCCCAGCTACTCAGGAAATTGAGACAGAATTGCTTGAACCCAGGAGATGGAGGGTGCAGTAAGCCAGGATCACACCATTGCACTACAGCCTGGAAGACAAAGCGAGACTCTATCTAAAAAATAAATAAAATAAAATAAAATAAAGTTTCCAAACCATAGGTACTTGGAGGAGTCTCTTCTTATCATTTCCAGCAGCCAGATATGATACATGCTCTTGGAGACTGTTCTGCCTTCATGATGGTTTATTCCTTTTATTTAATCAATCACTCTTCATGCATCAAGGTATCTCCTGGAGTAGGGATGTTGCCCAATGGATCCTGTCCACAGGTAAGGCCTGTCCCTGGGTGCCTCTGCACACCCCTGAGGATTCCTCTGAGGAGCAGCTCCACGCTGGGCCTTCAGCAGTGTGGATGCCAGCCTGCCCTCGGCCACCAGAGGTGCCCATCTGTGGGAAGCCCTGGTCTCCTTCTGACTCCAGGCCAGGTCCACTAGCAGGGATGCCTCACAGGCTCGACAAGGGCCTCCCTCCCTCCCTTCCCTGAAAGACCAAGTAGAGTCTTCAGGGAGATGGTCCTGGTTAACCAGTTATGAACCCAGACACAGGCTGGCCTCCCTGCTACGCTTCCTGCTGACTGGGCCCCATCTGGCCCTGGAGCTTGGCTGGACCCATACCCGTCATTTTACCACATGTCACTCTCCCTTGCCAATTTCCAGACCTAAAGGACCCACAGCACCTGACTTCTTCAAATGACAAAGTATCAAGAGACAAAGTTTTTTTTTAAGGTAAAACAAAGGAGCCCGTGGTGATTAGATTTCACAGCCATGCTGGCTCTCGCTCTGCTGCCCCGGCAGCTGACGCTGACGTCGTTGCTCTCCTCATCCTCCTCACCCTCTCCCACCTGACTCTCGAAGGCCCCTGCATGCCCACAACAGCTATGCCGGCAAACCCACCACTACCTCGCAAAAGTTGCAAAATATTTTTTGTTGGCTCTCATATGCACAGTCTGCCAGCAAACAAGTAGGATTGTCGCACCACATGGCCCTCAGTCAGAGGTAAACGCAGAGTAGCCATCGCACAGAGAATGGAACTAAGGAGGCCCAACAGGCCTTTGGAGTGAGTGCTCTGGTCTCCGACCCCTGTGCTCAGACAGAGAAATGGCAATCCAGCCCATTTCTGGGATGCTTCTTCCAGACCCCCACCAGGAGGCTCCTGCACTCACTTACCAGCACCTGCTGTGAGCCGGACTCTAGTGGCTGAGTAGGGCCTGGTAACTCAACGGATAGGGAGTGGCCTCCTGACCCTGGCCGACGACACCTGCTCCCAGCCCTCAACTCTGGGCTGCTGGCAGGGGACAGAGGGCCAGGCTGACCTCTTGGTTTCTTAGAGTGCAGTAAATGAGCTGTTCTCTCTCTGCATGTCCTCTCACCTCTCACAGGAGATGCCCAACCACCCAAGCCAAGCGTGACCCTCCCAAGCATCAAAACAGTCCTCCAAAATAAAATGCCTAGCCGGGCACAGTGGCTCAAGCCTGTAATCCCAGCACTTTGGGAGGCCGAGGCGGGTGGATCACGAGGTCAAAAGATCGA